TATATATATATATATATATATATATATATATATATATATATATATATATCCACAGATAAACCAAACCTGCAAAAGCAGATTTTACATAGTATCTGCTGCAGATTCTATCAGTAGATTGCTAGTAGAAATACAATATGATATAATGGTAGAATATAATAAGGCTTATGGCAGAAATGGTATAAGATCTGTCGTTCCAATATGTTAGGTTGTTCGGAAAGTTTCGTTTCAAATTTTCTATATAAATTCAGAACACAATATCTTATACAAAGAGGAACTTTATTGAAGCAAATATATGCCGTTTTGTTCAACGATTTTGGCTCATTTTTCAAGTAGCTGCATGATGCTTTTGCTCCAAAATGCAGGTTTCTTACTAGTGAAAAATTGATCGAGGTGACTTTTGAAGACTTCCAAAAACTCGAATTTCTTGTCCCGAAAAAAAATTATTCAAAGAGTGAAATAGGTAGTAGTCAGATGGAGTAAGATTGGGAGAATATGGAGGATGAAAAAAACGTCCTATTCAAAGTTTAACAGCTTCTTATGGATAGACATTGTGACGTGAGGCCTAGCGTATCATGATGGAATGCAACTTCACGTTTATTGGCCAGTTCAGAGCGCTTGTGATGGCAGCCTTCATTTCGTCTAGCTGAAAGTTATACTTCGCCGCATTGATAGTTTCGTTCGGCTGAACAAGCTCATAATATACCACGTCCTTAAAATCCTATCAGATATTCAGATGAATCTTTTTCAAGCACCGGCTTGGCCACTGTTTGCATAGACGCGAAGCTGATTCTCCACGATCTCTTGCAGCTAACATTATTGTATAGGATCCAACTTTCATCGCCTGTTATGATTCTCTTCGAAAACAATTCCTTTTGGTGCCGTTGAAGTAGATCGCAGATGTTTACACGTTCCACCAGCTGCCGTTTATCCATTTCGTGTGGCACCCACACGTCCAATCGAGTTGAGAATCCTAGCTTCTTCAGGTGATCATGCACGGTGGAGACGGACTTGTGTAGAGTGTCGGTGAGTTTTCTAACAGTCACTCGAGAATTTTTGTGCACGAGAGCCTTAAGAAACGTTTCATCAACTCCTGAGGTCGGTCAGGGCGAGTTTGATCTTTCACGTTGAAATCGCCAACTTCTCATCTTTGATACCACTTCTGAACTATCTGGTGAGTGACGCAGGCATTTTTATACATAGAGAATGTTATTTAGGAACTGCGAAGTCGTAAAGCCACGTTTGAAACAATAGAGCATCATATAACGAAAGTACACTTTCTGGTTCTCTATTTCTCAAACTGATTTCTGACAAAATGGTTGCACTTAAGAAGGTCTGTGAAATTTCTTTGGCGTGCTAGATCCGGAAAAGTTAACAAGCACAAAATCGTCTGGAGCGCCCTCGCTCTCACTGATTATATAGAAATGCGGAGCGCGCAAAATTTTAAACGAACTTTCCAAACAACCTAATATTTAAATAAAATAAACTGCAGATATTGTTCGCTTTCTGTCGTCAATTTGTTGTTAAATTCTGTCAGTAGACTCTGTATATATATATATATATATATATATATATATATATATATATATATATACATACATGCAGCGTGTCTGACTCGTATCGTACCAGAACTAATATATAGCTAGAATAGGTCGGGATAAGTAATGAGATAGGTATCTTTTTTTAAACAACCACGTGAAATTTTGAGATATTAAAGATTTCTATCGAGTGGCAGCCCATGGGCCAATCAGCACACGCGCTGCAGTGAGACGAACGCTATACACGCTGTAGCATCGGCATAACAGACTAGTCGGCTCAGCTCTCTAGCAACGAGGAAAACGCGTTATGCCAATGCTACAGCGTTCATCTCACCACAGAGCGCATGCTGATTGCCCAATGGGCTGCCGCTCCGTAGAAATCTTTCATTGTTAATATCTTAAAATTTCACGTAGTTGTTTAAAAAAAGACACTCATTCCATTACTCCGATTTATTCTAACTATATATTAGCTCTGATACGATACGAGAGGAAAATCTGGGACACCCTATATATATATATATATATATATATATATATATATATATATATATATATATATATATAT